GTTCAGGGTCCTGGAAGGGGAGAAACGACCCCCAGACACCTCAAAATGGGGTAAAACAAACGGTTCAGGGTCCTGGAAGGGGAGAAACAGCCCCCAAACACATCAAAATGGGGTAAAACAACTGATTGAGGTCCTGTCAGGTACCTACAGCAGCCATGATCCTAAAACGTGGGGTGCTACAGCCACCTTGGGTCCTGTCAGGTACCTACAGCCCCTAACACCCCCCAAAACAGCCACTCTGGGTCCTGGCAGATGCACAGCAACAGCCGTCACCCGACAGGATGGGGTCAGCACTCGCTTTGGGTCCTGGCAGGGACACAGCAGTCCCGGTCATCCTCGCTGTGGGGTTCAACCACTCTGGGTCCTGGCAGGGGACATCCAGCCCCCGTCACCCCACATGATGGGGTCAGATCCCACTTTGGGTCCTGGCAGGGGACAGCCAGCCCCCGTCACCCCACATGATGGGGTCAGATCCCACTCTGGGTCCTGGCAGGGGACATCCAGTCCCTGTCACCCCACATCATGGGGTCAGATCCCAGTTTGGGTCCTGGCAGGGCACTGCCAGCCCCCATCATGGGGTCAGCACTCTCTCTGGGTCCTGGCAGGGGACATCCAGCCCCTGTCACCCCACATCATGGGGTCAGATCCCAGTTTGGGTCCTGGCAGGGCACTGCCAGCCCCCATCATGGGGTCAGCACTCTCTCTGGGTCCTGGCAGGGGACATCCAGCCCCTGTCACCCCACATCATGGGGTCAAATCCCACTCTGGGTCCTGGCAGGGGACATCCAGCCCCCATCATGGGGTCAGCACCCGCTCTGGGTCCTGGCAGGGGACAGCCAGCCCCCGTCACCCCACATGATGGGGTCAGATCCCACTCTGGGTCCTGGCAGGGGACAGCCAGCCCCCATCATGGGGTCAGCACTCTCTCTGGGTCCTGGCAGGGGACAGCCAGCCCCCGTCACCCCACGGCCGGGCTCCTGCCAGCACCGTGTCCCCTCAGGCCCGGTGTGCGGCGGGAGGTGTCCCCACACACGGGTGGCCGCACGGTGACACTCGCGGTGACACTCGCGGTTGTTTACAAACACCTCCCTCCCCTCACAGCCCACCCCCGGTGCGGCGGGAAGCGCTGAGGGGACAGTGGGGATCAGGGGGTCTCCAGTACCGGTGGGAAACGCTGAGGGGACCGGAGGAGGGGATCAGGGGGTCTCCGGTACCGGCGGGAAGCGCTGAGGGGACAGTGGGGATCAGGGGCTCCCGGCTCTTGCAAAAAGCGCTGAGGGGACCGGGTGAGGGGCTCAGGGAGTCGCCGGTACCTGTGGAAGCACTGAGGGGACTGGAGAAGGGGATCGGGGGTCTCCGGTACCTGCAGGAAGCGCTGAGGGGACCGGGTAAGGGGGTCAGGGGGTCTCCGGTACCGGCGGGAAGCACTGAGGGGACAGTGGGGCTCAGGGGGTCCCGGTTCTTGCAAAAAGCGCTGAGGGGACCGGGTGAGGGGCTCAGAGGGTCTCAGTACCTCCGGGAAGCACTGAGGGGACCGGGTAAGGCGGGTCAGGGGGTCCCGGTACCTCCGGGAAGCGCTGAGGGGACAGTGGGGCTCGGGGAGCCTCGGTAGCTGCGGGAGGCCCCGGGAAGCTCTGAGGGAGTGGGGGCAGATCGGGGGTCTCGGGGGTCCCGGTACTCGCGGGAAGCTCCAG